TGTGCTGCAAACCAAAAGGTCCACAGTTTGAATCGACCAGCCCACTCTGCAGACGAAAGATCCACTTGGAAAGATCTGCAACTTCAGAAACCCAGTGGGCAGTTTCTAGGAATCGAAACTGACTCAACAGCTGTGGGTTCACTCTTGGTGATTCTCGGGGACTCTGGTGGCACAGTGTTTATGCGCTCATCTGCCAAGCACAGTGGGAATTCCACAGGAAAGGTTCCAGCCTAGGAAGACCCGCTGGGGCAATGGCAGGTCTTTGTGGGCGCACACAGTTCAGTTCCAAACACTGACATGAAAAACTATATCCCCCTTCTCTCTCTCTCTCTCTCTCTCTCTCTCTCTCTCTCTCTCACACACACACACACACACACACACACACACACACACACACAAACACACACCAGCAGCACCAGCACCAGCAGTTTTCAAGCCTTGACACTCTTAAAAATTACTAAGCCCACTCTGTTGATTCCAACTCGTCATTCCTCCACCGGGTTTCCAAGGCTGCAAATATTTATCTCTGTGTTAACAGCATTAACCAAGCACAGACACACCACGCCACCAAGGCTCCTTAAAAATCACTAAGCTTTCTCCCCGTCAAAAAAAAAAAAAACAAAAAAAACCCTCAACACAGGGAGATCAAGGTGGGCAAAAAAGAATTTCCCCCCAGGGTTTTGGAGGCTGTCACGTTTATTATGCAAGCAAACTGCCTCATCACTGGTGGGTCTGAGGTGCCGGCCAGCCCAGTACTTAACCGCTGTGCCACTCAAGTTCCAAAGAACCCTGAAGTGCGTCTGTTGATTTTTGTCACAGTAAAAATGAGCACCTGGAGACCTCCGGTGGCCTAGTGGCAAGAAACTGCACTGCAATCCCAGAGGTGCGTGGTTCGAATCCACCAGATGCTCTGCGGGAGAAGGAGGGACAATGTTCTCCAGGACCAGTCAGATCTGATTTGACAGTACACACACGCAAATAATAAAAATAATTTTTTTTTATTTTATTATTTTTGTGTGAGTGTACCGTCAAATCAGATCTGACTGGTACCAGAGGAGACTGTCCCTCCTTTCCCGGCAAAGCATCTGGTGGATTTGAACCGTGTGTCTCTGGGATTGTAGTTGCAGCTCCTTGCCACTAGGCCACCAGAGCTCCCCTCAAAATAAATTTTTTAAAATGAGCACCGGGCCTGTAAAATGCAATGATATGTTCATTGGTGGAAAATGGCATTAATTATACTTGCAAACTGACATAAACCTGAGTGGACACTTAGCCTTGTAAACTTGCTCAAGTCATAGGTGGGAAAAAACCAAAAACCTTGGGATTTTTTTTAAATTGTTTGGGTTTTTTTTTTCTTATTTTATTGTGGGTGAAATGTTTTTCTATCTTAGAATAATCTTTTTAAAAAAATCAATGAGAATAGAGATGTTGTTTGCACCTTAAGGCTAATCTTTGCAGCTGTCTTTGCCCTTCGTCTGTTGTGATTTCACACGCCACACACCTGTATGCCACTTCTGGAAAATTCCACGGCACGGTCATGAAAGGATGAGAGTAAAGGCAGGTACTGTCTCATTGTTGGAGTAAAAATAATTCTCTCATGGACCTCATGAAAGGGCTTTGGGAACCCTTGCAGATCCTTAGAATGGTTTGCTCTCAACTACTAGCCCAAAATGTTAAAAAACTCAAACTCATTGCTGTCGGGTTGGAACCAACTCCAAAAGCTAACAAAGTGTGGTTCAAATCCACCCAGCAGCACTGCATAAGAAAGGCTGGGCAATTCACTTCTACAAGGACTACAGACAAGAAAATCCCACAATGCAGTTCTACTTGGCAGCAGTTTTTGGCGTTTGTTTTGTTTTGTTTGTGTTTGTGTTTTGTTTTTTTTAAGGAGGGAGAAGGGGTAACACAAACAATTGAGACCTCAGTTGCTAAGCATGGTATTTGGGGTCCCTCCAGAATTACGTTAGGCCATTCATATTCTGCAAACCCAGATACTCCTTATTTCTCCCTAGGGCCAAAATTCTTTCCATATCAACCACCCCCCAAAAAAAAATCCAGGCAGCCGACTTAAAACTTTGCTGCCAATGCCAACGCACCAAGACCTGCCTAACTTGCCCCAGTTGTTTAACCAGCGCCCCGCCCCCTCCCCACCAATGTCTGCGGACCTGATGAACCGGAACTACATTTCCCATGAAGCCCCGTCGTAGGACTACATCTCCCATACGCCTCTGCGCTTCCAAGTTCTTTGCCCTTCAACCAGGGCACCAGTGACTAGCATCATCTCTGCTTACCTCTGCCCTCAAATTCTGCTCGCCCCGTTTAATGGACAGTCCACTCCAGTCCAGGTCCCAACATCCTCTCCCTCCAGCACCCACAGCCCAACAGGCAACTTGCCTCAGTGTCTCCAGTGTGATGCCTGAGAGCTACCGCTCCCCCCACCCCCTTTTCCCTGCGCCCCTGATGCGCAAGGCTGTGCGCTGCGGAGCTTGTGAGCTCGGGCCACGGCTGCGCAATGGAGTGCAAAACCTGGGGCCCCCACTAGGAGGCGAGTGTGAGCCGCTCTAGGGCTGGGGGCGTCTGGGGCGCCCACTCGGTGCGTTGCTGAGGCTGCGTCTGGGGTGCGCATCTCCGGCCCGGCCTCACCCAGCGCGGGACGTATCTCAGGTGCCCCTGGACGATGGCGACGTCTGCGCTGAGGGTGGGAGTCCCTGCTTCTGGGTGTGTCTGCAGCTCAGGGTGCTATGGGGTGGGGTGTGGCCCCGAGAGAGACAGCGGCAGCTTGGCACGTGATGTGTGTGTCCTTGTCTATCGTGTCTGTGTCTGTGACAGACAGGTTCCAGGCCCAGCGTTGCCACTTCCGGCTGCGTGCCCTAGGGCGGGGAGCCTCAGTTTCCTGATCTGTGCAATGGGCATAAATATTAGGACCTGCCTCCTGGGACGGTTGCGAGGATGAAAAGGTCTTTATGTCTAAGGTGCTGAGAACAGATACCTCGCCCATAGTCACTGCTCAGAATAAATAAATTAATTAAAAATATGATGATTTATCTTTTTGTGAGATGGTTGTTTCTGGCTGTGTAGTGTGTGTCTGTGTGTACATTTTGGCAGTGCCTGTCTAAGTTTGTGTGCTGTGTGCTTCCGTATGTATTACTGTGTCTATGGGTAATGCGTCTTTGCAGCCTTGTGTGGAATGTGATTATTTGTGAAGTGCACGTGTGTTAATGTGTGTTTAGCCATGGAACGTGTGTTTGTGTATCTGCTGTGGGTGTCTGTGTGTGTTTTTATGGTGCATGCCTGCATGTTTCTGTGTGTGAGGTCTTGCTGTGTCCTTTTGCACCTCATTTCTTTAGCTTTGCCTCTGTGTGTGTGAGTGACTCTGTGTATGTGTGTCTATGACCATGTTGAATGTGCTGTTTTCTCTGTGGATGTGGCGGGTGCCTGTGTGACTGATGTGTGTCCTTTTTATGCCTGTGTATGTTGGTGCATATGATGTACGTTTCCATGTATACGTGGTTTGTATATCCATGCATGACATGTGTGTCTGTGTCGATACAAAGGGAGCTGTGTGTAGCTCTGTGATGTGTATAAATACATGTGATGGTGTTTGTGCACAATCATGTATGTGTTTGTGTGCTGTGTGTACACACTTGTATCTGAGATGTGTGTGTGTTAGCATGATGTGTGTGTCCACGTGTCCCTCTGTACAAGTGGAGCTGTGTGTATCTGTGAGGTGTGTGGCTGTGTATGTATTGTGTATGCCTGGATATGATGTGTGTCATATTTGTGTTCTATGTCTGTATACACACACACATGCATGATGTATATCTGTTAGTGTGTGATGTGTGTGTGTCTCTCAGTGCAAGTGGAGCTGTGTGTATCTGTGAGGTGTGTGTCTGTAGGTTTTCCGTGTATTCATGGATGTGAGGTCTGGTAGTGTGTGATATGTTGTGTATGTCTGCGTGTAGTCATACATGTGAGGTGTGTGTCTGTATGTCTTGATACAGGTGAAGCTGTGTGTATCCGTGAGGTGTGTATTTATGTTCTCAGGGATGTGATGTCTGCTGGTGTGTGATATGAATGTGTCTGTTAGTATGTGCATGTCTCGGGACGTGTGACTGTGTGTTATCTGGGTGGTGTGTGCATGGTGCTGTCCGCAGTGTTCTTTGTTGCCCATTTGGAGCGTGCGTGTCGTGGGCATGGCACTGCAGAGCCGCGTGGATCTGTGGACGTGGGTCCCTCTGTGGCTTATGTAGGGATTTGTCATCTTCCAGTTCCTGCGTGGCGGCTCCATCTGTGCCGGGGGCCGGCCCGCCTGTCCGTTCCCAGTGCACCCGTCTCTGCGTCTTTGTGTGTGACGTGAGCGTGTCCCCGTCTGCCTATGGCTGTCCACCTTTGTATGTGGCGGGCCTGTCTGTGAGGGTCCCCGCGACGTGTGTCGGCTGTGTGGGGGCTGCGTGTGCTGGCGTGACAGCTGCAGCTTAGCCTGTGACACACGTGTTCAAGCCGGTGGCATGTCAGCACGGTGTCCGGACCAGGCACTGTGGGCCCTGCGCCCCCCTCCCAGGGTCTGCCGGTCCCTGTCTGTCCCTCCCCCTTCCCTCCCTCCTGGCATCCAATGCTACCCAGGAGCCAGTTGCCATGACGACGTTCCATCCTCCCTCCTCCCACCCTCCCTCTGACAGGCTCCCTGCTTCCCCAATCCCGGCTGCCCTCGGGGGCGGGGCCCTCATTCGCTACCCCCCATCCTACCCTCTCCCCCCCACCCCAGCAACCCCAGCTCCCCAGCTCCTCTCTTCTGTCCGCCTCTCCGTCCCTCCATCTGTCTGTCCCTTCAGAGAGGGGGAGGGGGGTACCTGAGCCAGTAAGCAGCCCCTCCCTCCCCCTGTCCTGCGTCTCCTGCCCCTCTCCTGGGCCGGGGGGAGGCCAGGGTCGCGCGGGTCCCCATGGCTGGGGGCTGAGGGCCCGCCCCCCCCCTCCTCCCCAGCCGCCACCTCCACCACCTCCCTTCCATCCTCGCCAAGATGCCTGCCCCCAGCGCCTTCATCCTTCTCGCGGCCGTCTCCGCCTCCGGCTGCCTGGCGTCCCCGGCCTACCACGGTGAGTCTGTTGGGCCATCCGTGTGTCCGGTGCGGCCTCTGTCCCCATCGCGGCCCGCCTGCAGGTCTGTGTGCAGGGCCTGGGGCCCGTCACCTGTTTGTGCGTCTTCCCGCAGCCGCGAGGGGCCTGGCGTCAGGGACGGGCCACTGTCAGCGGGGCCTGTGGGAGGGAGGCTGGGGGGCGGCGGGGAGGGGGTGAGCTTAGGCAACGTGTGTGCACACGCGTGTGTGTGCAGGTGTGTGCAGGAGCCGGGGCCTCTCAGGGCCTCTGGGACCACTGGAGGCAGAGGGAGGAGCACTCCTTCTAAGAGAGACACAGCACAGCAGGCTGGCCCTAAATTTGGGGGAGACCCAAGGCTTGCGGAGTTGCCTTCTAAGGGACCTGGGCTGAGGACATAGGATGAGCATCCTAGCATCCCAAAAAGATGTGGGTCTCCACCTACCCAGCTTCAGCAAAGGACACGGATCACCCAGCCTGCATTTGGGGTCTCATTATTTTTCCCCAAACAGGGGGTAAAGAAGCTGCCTGTGGGAGCTTATTTTCAATACTGACAGCTCCAAGGCCGGCTGTTACTCTCCCTCCCCTCAGACCTTACTGTAATTTTTTTAAGCCTAAATTGGAGAAGCGAAAAGGGTCCCAGTTTGGAGCAGAAACGGAAGGACCCCACCCCCAACCCGAGCACCTGGGAAGAACCTTAAACTACAACTCCCCCGATGCCCCAGGCCATTCGGCTCCTCTGCCAAGAGGGCCCTGGTTGCAGAGAATTATGGGAGTTGTAGTCCTAGACTGGCCAGGTGGGCGGGGCGTGGAGTCCCAGCTAAAGGGGCTTGAAGCTGGGACCCTATAGGCCAGTTCTGTGCCGACAGGTGGATTCGCCTTCAACTGGGCCCCTGTGGCGCCCCCGTACGCTGTGGTTCTCATTTCTTGCTCTGGCCTGCTGGCTTTCATCTTCCTCCTCCTCACCTGTCTGTGCTGCAAACGGGGTGATGTCGGCTTCAAGGTGAGGTGCAGGGAGGGTGAGGGGTACAGGTGATGATCCCAACCAGACCCTTTCCTTCAACCCAAGCGGCGAGGGTAGGAAGGGAGAGTTGGAGACAGGCACCCTCGAGCCTGAAGTAGGGCGACATCCTGAGCCTTGGCTGGAAATTGGGCCAGGACAGGGGGACTGTTCTGAGGACGGTGGGGAGAGGCATTTGATAGGATCGTGGTGTGTCTCTCAGTCCTGTGTTCTCCCACCCCGCCCCATCCCAGGAATTTGAGAACCCGGAAGGAGAGGACTGCTCTGGGGAGTACACCCCTCCAGCCGAGGAGACCTCCTCCTCACAGTCTCTGCCTGATGTCTACATTCTGCCGCTGGCTGAGGTCTCCCTGCCCATGCCGGCCCCACAGCCTTCACATTCAGGTACTGCCTGGATCTGAACTGGAGACCATCTTGGGGGGAGCCACCAGCCACCAAGGCACAGATTAGACATATGGCGACATCACGTGTGTCAGAATAGAACTGTGCTCCATCCCATTTGCATTGGCTGATTGGGGGGGGGGGGAGTAGTTTACCAGGCCTTTCTTCTGAGGCTCTTCTGGATGGACTTGAACCTTTTACCTTTCTGTGAACAACCATGTATTTACTACTTGCATCATTCAAGCACTATCTTAGGTGGGGGTGGGGGCATTGCTTAATGCAAAGTCAGATTTAGGGACCTTTGCAAGGCAACCAATGGTGAGGCCAGTCTACATCTCAATCCTGGTGACAACCAATGGGAGGCTGATGTCATGTCATAGGCTCTTCGGTTGCCAAAGGGAGCTGCTGATTGGATGCCAGGATCTTGTGGGCAGCCAATGAGAGAGGAGTAAATCAGGTGTTGAAGTGTTGGAAGTAGCTAATGAAAAGATACTCGCGTTGACTTTGACCCCAATCTTCACTGACCTGGGGATGTGGTGGAGGCACATTGGAGGCGAGAAGGGTTCAGGGGCTTCTCCTTCTCCTCCCCACCCTCAGACATGACCACCCCCCTGGGCCTTAGCCGCCAGCATCTCAGTTACCTACAGGAGATTGGGAATGGCTGGTTTGGGAAGGTGAGTAGGGCCGGGGGTGGGATGCAGGGGGTCCCCACAATCTAGGGCAGTGCTGTTCTGCATCCATTCCCTGCCCCCCTTATCTCATCTGCCCCGCCACTTCTACCCCTTGCCTCCTCTCACCCACCCATGCCCTCCATTTCTGTCCACCTCTCACTCGCCCTGCCCGCCCCACCCTCTACATCTGTTGGTTAGCGCCTTCCACCTCACTCCATCGACCACTCCGCCACGCCATCTGGCTCTCCACGCGTCCGTCTGTCCATCCTTCCATCCGTCCTTGCATCCATCGGACTCTGGGCCTGTGAGTCTCTCCTCGCCACGTGCCATGAGGGGCAAAGGTGGTGGAGTAATGAGGAGGGCTGGGAAGGTGGGGCAGGTGGGAGCGCGCAGAAGGGTGGAAATGGGGTCAGCAAAGAGGCACAGGGTGACTCCTGGGTCCCCCTCCACCAGGTGATCCTGGGGGAGATCTTCTCCGACTACACCCCAGCCCAGGTGGTGGTAAAGGAACTCCGAGCCAGCGCGGGGCCCCTGGAGCAGCGCAAGTTCATCTCGGAGGCACAGCCATACAGGTGGGTACTAGAACTTCCCGTGCCAGGTAAGTGGGTCTCCAGGTCCAAACTTCTGTCCCTGCGCCCCCTGCAGGTACCATCTAGTAGTGGAAAGTAAGGAGTTTGGTGTGGACTCAAACCCGAGTTTGAATTCTAACTCCACCTCTCTGCCTGACTGTGTCACTAGAGGGAGACACCTTCCCTCCCTACGCCTCTATTTGGCTATTTGTCCAAACACCTCAATCCTCCCTGAGCTGCAATTCTGGGACAGACCTGGACTTTTAAACATTTGGGTGAATGGGACCAGTAAGAGAAGTAGGGATGATTATGGGCCACAGCCCTGCTGGAAACGTCAGCCTCGTCTTAGGGCAGCACATCCATTGCAAGGCAATTAGATCTGTTGCCTGTACAGTGAGTAACAACAGTGACCGGCTCAGAGGTGGTACCGGCTCAGAGGTGATGGCCACAGGTGCTGCTTTGAACGTGTACCAATCTCAACAGTTTCACCAAGGATCCAACCTCTTGCGTTTGGCTCCTGAAAAGGATCTTTATGTCTTTTTCTGGGTCTCCCATTTCAGAGCTTTGACCTGTGTACAAACTTTTTTATTATTCCTATTCAATTTTTTTTTAACTGGGGTCTCTTCCAGTTTCACTTACTGGGTGCGACTGAACTAGGTTAGCTGTGGACAGAGTCAGAGAATGCAAATGAGAAACAGGCCAGTGAGGGAAGAGAGGAGGAACTGACCCAGTGGCCTGCCTTCATGTCCACTCTGAACCTCAGTTATTATTTTCATCTGGAAAGTAGATGTCGGAGCCCTAGTGTCTTTAAGGAGAGGCGGCCGAGAGGATGTGAGATTCCTCAAAACCAGTTAACAGAAACAGTCACCGTCAAACAGATTCCAAGTCTTGGCAACAGCGTGTGCACCAGGACAGGACTGTGCTCTAGAGTTTTCAGTGACTGACTTTGGAAAGAAGAGAGAATGCACCATCTTTCTTCTGAGGCATTCCTGGGTAGACTCAGACCATTCCCTTCCTCAGGACCCAGCCTGTGAGTGAGGACAGGTAGAAATGGAACTAGAGACCAGGGCCCTGACCTGGCACCCAAGACTAGTTTGTCCCCTCTTCACCTGCTGGTCTGAGAAGTCTAGGAGGACAGTATCCGGTCCCTCTCGTCTCCCACCTCCCTTCCACTCTCAGGTCTGGGATAAGGACAAATTAAACATTTGCTGGATAAATGTCACGCGAGGTAGGGAGCTCTCCATCATGGAAAAAAGTGTGTACGTAGAGACTCTTTGTTCAAACAGCTGTGACGTGGAGACCAACAGTCACTAGACTTGCTTAGTTTTTTTAAATTTTTTTTATTTTTGTGTGAGTGTACCGTCAAATCAGATCTAACTGGTACAGGAGGAGATTGTCCCTCCTTCCCCGGCAGAGCATCTGGTGGATTTGAACCGTGAGCCTCTGGGATTGTAGTTGCAGCTCCTTGCCACTAGGCCACCAGAGCTCCCCACTAGACTCGCTTAGTGAGCTCTCATTTCAGAGCCTTCTTTGGGTCCCCATTGCTCCCAGGAGAAAGTCTCTCTGTTCCCACAATCCATAACTCCTCCCCTTTGCCTGCCTCAGGCCCTTTGTCCATGCTGCTCCCTCTGCCTAGAACAGCACTCCCTGCTTACGCGCCCCTGGCTACAAACTGGGGCTCCTTCCCGCCTAGGCTCAGGTCTCCCTCACCTTCCCCCTTCTTTTCCTTTCCAGTCTCTGTTATTTATCTTTTTTTTTTTTCCCTTGTGCTTTGGTTGAGAGTTGACGGGGTGAACTAATTCGCCACTTTACAGCTTCTGAACATTTTGTTTTCTTACACTGGTGCCAGTCGCTTCAAGGTATCAGCACCCTTCCTCCTCCCTCCTGGAGTTTCCCACTTCCATCCACCTTCCTGCCCTGCCGCCTTCTTGCCACCTCAGCTGAGTTTAGGGGAGAAATGCGGCCCTTTTGGTCTCATGTGGTTGACTGTTCTGAGACAGGTGTTACTGTTCATCTTATAAGGCCTGCCTGTCACTTGGCTTTGAGACGACTCCTGGAGGTGGCTTCAGATCTCCAACCTCCTATAGGTCTCTGAGAGGCTCTATCATATCACAGGTTCAAATCATCTTGGGTGATTTCTTCCCTGCTGCCACCTCAGCCCGTCACCCATCTATTTGTTCACTCCCTGTCTCTCCCTCAACCTGTGGTGGTGACCATCAACCCATACATGGCTGCTGAGATGCCAATAAATAAAATTAAGGATTCTCCTCCTCTGTCATGTATGCCAGATACCTATGGTTAACACATTTGTTGTTGTTGTTGTTGTTGTTGTTATGTGCCTTCGAGTCACTTGCGACTCATAGCGATCCTATGTACAACAGCTCTAAACTCTGCTCTGTCCTTTGCCAATGTCATTGTCAAGACAAAGTTAACACAGTTAGCAATGTGTTAACCAAATGGTAGGCAGTTTGAACCCATCAGATCCTCTGAGGGAGAAAGCTGAGACAGTCTGCTCTCATAGAAACTTACAGCCACCCGAAACTCTATGGGCAGTCCTTTTCTGCCCTCCAGGGTCACTAGGAGTTAGAATCAATTCGGTGGCAGCTAGGTTTTTGGGTTCACAGTCACTAGCAGCACCCAGGCCTTTTGACCCTGCAGACCTAAGCCGTTTCCACCTGCACGGAAAGTTCTGTTCTACTGACTAGAGCTGTCAAGGACCGGTCTCTGGCTGGGGCACTTGGGCCATGGGCTGTCAGTAAACATTCGCTGAATGAGATCAAACCCCAGCTCTGTTGCGTAACTCTGGGCCAATCACTGCACCCCTCTGAGCCTCCTAGATCCAGCAGCACACAGTGTCCCGCAGAACCAGGTTGTGGGGAGGAGCTGAAAGGAAGTGGCCAGTCTTAGCTAGGGTTCCTCGACATTTGCTGCCCTGACGCTCGCACCTCGGTAGTGCCAGCTGTTTCTCTGGCCCAAACATGTGCCAGGTGTGCCATGGACTGATTGCCATGTGGTTCTTCCACCAACAAGAGGGGGTGACACTGTTTTCCCCAGATGAAGGTCACCGGGATGCTCAAAAAGGGGAGACAATGGAGGGTCCTGGACAGTGTGAGAGATAAACGTGAAACAAGAGGTGAAATCTCACAGATGGCCAGTCTTAGGGAGACTGGTGGAATGCTAAGACTATGGCCCTTAGTCACCCCTCACACCTGGAACTAAACTCGCCCCCGGGATACAACTTTCATTTGAACTGTAGAATAAGCAACCCCTGTGAGATGAAAAGGACAGCTCAGGGTTCCAGGGACAAAGCTTAGAAGGTAAAGGGATCTGATGAGTGGAAATGAGAATCACAGGGAGGAAATGGGGGAAATGCTGCCAATTGTGGAGATTGTAATCCATGCCCTGTAACAAAATGTGTACAGAAAATTGAATAGAGAACCAACCTAGGCTGTAAATGTTGTGTTAAATCACAGTAAAAAAGAAGCCCTAGTGGCTCACTAGTTAAGCACTGGGCTGGTAAATTAAAAGTCAGCAGTTGAGACTCACCAGCCAACCCCAGTGTGAAATGGCCTGGCAAGCTGCTTGTCAAGATTCACAGTCCTGGGAAGCAAAGGGGCTTCTGTCCTTCTCTGTCCTACAGGGTCGCTGGAGGTCAGAGTTGGCTTGACCGCGGTGGGTTTGGTTTTGGGGTAAAGGTCACAGAATTGAGAGCAGATGGTTGGACCGGGGGGGGGGGGGGGGGGGGGAAACCCCATTTAAAGGGCTGATTCCATTCTCCCTACAGACCCCCGAGTCTGAGCCCACTGAAATCACAAACTCACTGCCACCGAGTGGCTTCCGAGTAGGCTCCAATCAGCCCCGTTGTGTCAGAGCTGAGCTCTGCTCCATCCGGTTCTCAGAAGGAGCATCAGGGCTGTGAAGGTTGGGGGCCTGACTGCTACCTGCAGAGGCTCGCAGTTCGAACCCCCCAGCACCTAGGTGGGAGACGCCCTGCTGACTGACTTCCTTCCTCACAGGCTGCATGTGTAGTGAGCCTCCATTGAGTTCTGGAGGCTTTGAATCCTTGAGGTAGGGAGACATCCCATCTTTCTCCCACAGAGGTGCTGGTGGAGTCACACCGCTGACTTTTCACTTAGCAGTCTGATTCATTACATATTGTGCTGCCAGGGCTCCTACCACATAGGAAACCCGTTCAGGCTGTTCTACGCTATCACACGGAGTCTCTATGCACAGGAGTCAACTTGTCAGTCGACACTGACAATCTGGGCTGGAGCAGATCACCAGGCCTTTCTTCCGTGGCACCACTGAGTGGGTTCAAACTGCCAAGCTTTAGGTTAACACCTGAGTGCAAACTTCACCATGCAGGGAGACACACACACACACACACACACACACACACACACACACACACACACACACACACACACACACACACACACACACACACACACACACACACACACACACACACACACAAGCACCTGCAGGACTGGCCTAAGGCGCTGAGGACAGCCAGGACAAAATGTTCCAGATCTTCAACTTAGAGGAGAAACACAGACCGATACCTGAAAATGCATAAAAGGGGCATCAGAGTGTGCACAGAGGTGTGAGGAGAGTGAGTAGCACGTTCAGTGACAGACTGGGTGGGGGGAGCCTTTGGACAGGGTCCTTGGGGAGGCTGAACAGACTAGCAGGAAGCAGTCATGTGTAGAGGAGTGGGAACAGCATTCAAGGTCCAGGGAACAGAAGATGCAAAGGTGGTGGGGCGGGAGTACCTTCTCTGAGAGCTGCCCTGGAAATGCAGTTATAATGCAGGGTAGGACTAAGATAGAGAAGCTGGTGTTAACCTTTCAACGGCAGCAATGAGAGCAATTTGCTCTGCAGAGAGTCACGGAAATAACAAGGTTTCAAATAAACAAACAACAATTTCTAGGATTCCTTCATGAAACCTCTGAGTGCATCGAGTTCTCCTCATTCACCAGAGGAGGGGACTCCTACTGTTGTGCCCTTTTACAGATGAGGAAAACTGAGGCAAAGGGTAGTGAAGTGCTTCTTCTGAGTTCACACTCCTGGGAAAGGTGGAGTTAGGATTCAGATTGTCCCCCCCTTCCTGCCCCGCCCTGACCCTTATCCACAGTATGAGTACAAAGAAGGGACACCTGCCCCAGGATTGGGGGACAGCGGGTTTCTTGAGGAGATGATGTCAAAGCTGGGGTTTCAGGGTTGGGGAGAACCTTGCTGAGGGGATGATGACTTCCATGGGGGGAACTGGACCCTCCTAAGTGGACAGCTTGTGTGTTTGGGGGGTTATTAGGAGGTGGGGGGCCAGCTGGAGGGGAGAAGTGGCAGGGGGGCTGGGCTTTCTTCCAGGGGTATTGGGGAGCCACAGTAGAAGTGAGCTGGTGATGGGCGGAACAGGATGGAGTGAAGGAGGGAGACTGAGAAGAGTCCAGACAGTGATAGGAGACCAGGCACGATTCAGGGCTGTGGGGACAGAGGAGGGGCAGGAAGGTAGGCTGGGGGCAGGGTGAAAACGAAGAAGGGGGACAGAGACACCCAGGGGCCTGTGAAGAGTCAGGTAGTGTGGAGAGGTGAAGAAACAGACCAAGAGAATGAGGCAGCCCTTGGGTTTTTCTGGGTGTGGGGCCAGGCTGAATGGGGTGCTTCCCTGACAGCCCCTTCCTCCCTCCAGGAGCCTGCAGCACCCCAACATTCTGCAGTGTCTGGGCCTGTGTGTGGAGACTCTGCCTTTTCTTCTGATCATGGAGTTCTGCCAGCTGGTGAGGGATGGGGATGGGGTGGGGGGCAGTTGCAGGAGGTGGTTGAGGCATGGCAGGGAAAAAGGGGGTGCAGGGAGCTCTGAGGGACTACTGGGAAGCAACACCTCCCTGAGGTGACTGTTCTCAGGATGACCGTGTGACAGCTACATTTATTGAGCACTTATTATATGCATGTCACTGTTGTGTACGGTCGGGTCGCAACCGACCCACAGTGGACCTTCCAGCGGGTTTTAAGAGGCAGTTAATCACCTGGGAGATTACCCATCCTTCTCCCCTGGAGCAGCTGCCTTCCACATTGCAGCAGATTCTTGCCATTAGGCCACCAGAGCACATAGCTAACGTTTATTGATCACTCGCTGTATACATGCATATCACTGAAGGTGGGGGCCCTGAACAAAGCCTTACTGTGGGTGCTGTAAAGTGGGGGAACTGAGGCACAGAGTGACTGCCCAGCGTGCCCATCCTGACCTTGGACTGTCTGGAGATGCTGACTCTTCCCTTCCCTGCTTCTAGGGGGACCTGAAGCGTTACCTGCGGGCCCAGCGCCCCCCTGAGGGCATGTCTCCTGAGCTGCCCCCTCGAGACCTGCGGACACTACAGAGGATGGGCCTGGAGATCGCCCGCGGGCTGGCTCACCTGCACTCGCACAACTACGTGCACAGGTGGGTGGGCGGGACCATGCTTTGGAGGCGGGGCTACTGCAGAGAAAGGCGGGACCTGAGGGAGGAGGCGTGTGAGAGGGGCCAGGAGGGGAGATGGGGTGGGGCCAGGAGGGGAGAGGGGAGGGGCCAGGAGGGGACGGGGTGGGACCAAGCGGGAGAGAGGAGGGGCCAGGAGGGGACGGGGTGGGGCCAGGAGGGGAGAGGGGAGGGGCCAGGAGGGGTAGGGGAGGGGCCAGGAGACACCAACCAAGAGGAGAACCGTGGAAGGTCAGGAGGTGGAGGTGAAGGATGCGTGGAGAGAGGAGTTAGCAGAAAAAGGAGTTGAGTCTAGGGCTTTGGCGAGGGGAGAAAAGAGGGATCGAGGCTGGAGGGGAAGGGCTGGCAAAGAAAGGACAGAACAGGGTCTGAAGGGGAAGGTGGGGTCCAAGGAGGAACAAGCCAGAGGGGAGGAGACAGGAGAAAAGGGGAGGAGTTCAGTGAGAAAGGAAAGCATTCAGTGGGGAGGGGGAGGGGAGTTAACGGGAGGGGTCATTGGAAGGAGAGGCGGTGTCCAGAGGGAAATAGATAAGGGAGGGGTCCGATGAAAATTCAGGGGGGTTTGTTGTTAGGTCCCTTCGCGTTGACTGTAGCATAACGACACTACGAACAAACAGCCTTGCCCTGCCTATCTGGTGCACTCCTGACAATCTGTCACGCTCAAGCCCATTTTTGCAGTCACTGTCAGTCCGTCTTGAGGGTTTGCCTCTCTTCTGCCGACTCTCTGCTTTTCCAAGCGTGCTGCCCTTTTCCGAGGGCTAGTCCTTCCTGACAACATGCTGAACGCCTAAGAGAGCTTCACCAGCCTTGCCTCTGAGAAGCACCCTGACTGTATATAGATTCATTTGTTCTTTTGGCAGTCCATTGGATATTCAGTATTCTCCACTAGCTCCACAATTTGGAGACACCAGTTCTCTGCAGTCTTCCTTATTTACTCATTGCCCAATTTTCAGATGCTTAGGAAGAGATTGAAAGACCATGACTTGGATCAGGTGCACCTTAGTCCTTACACTGATCTTGCTATTGAGCACTTTACAGAGCTGTTGACAGCTGATCTACCCAATGCAACTACTGTTACTACATGTGCTGATTGTGGACCCAAGTAAAATGAAATCGTTGACAGCTTCAATCTTTTCCCCATCTATTATGATATTACTTCTTGCTCCACCTGTGACCATTTTTGTTTTTTTAATGTTGAGGTGCAATCTATATTGAAGGCTGTCAGTCTCTGGGCTTCTTCAGGAATTGCTTCTAGGCAGGAGAGCAGGAGTCTAGACAGGAGGGGGAGGAAACAGCAAGGAAGTAAAAGGGAAGAGTCAGCAAGGGAAGGATGGGGTCAGGGAAGTAGGGCGGCGTCAGGAGAAGAAGAGGTGGAGCAAAGGAGAGAAGTGGGAGGGGAAGAGACAGAAGAGGAGGGGCCAGGGTGTGGGGCGTGGCCATATGTTTAAGGGCGGGGTCAGGGGAGATGCCAGAAGAGAAGGGAAGGGATTGGAGACAGGTGGAGGGGTGGGGTCAGAGGCAGATGCCAGAAGAGGAAGGGGAGAGATTGGAGAGAAGTGGAGGGGCGTGGTCAGTGGAGGGGAGGAGCTAAAGGATGAAAAGGGAAAGGAAAGAGTAGAGTTCTGAAGAAAGGGACCTGGTCCAGGCTGCCCATCCAGGCTCACCCTCCCACCTCTGCCCCTGTCTGTGCCCCCAGTGACCTGGCCCTTCGCAACTGCCTGCTGACCTCTGACCTCACTGTGCGCATTGGAGACTACGGGCTCGCCCATAGCAACTATAAGGTGGGGGTCGCCTGAGGTCGCGGTGTGGGGCTCAGGGGGGCCCCCAGCCTGCTGACTGCACCCCACTCCCCAGGAGGACTACTACCTGACCCCAGAGCGCCTGTGGATCCCGCTGCGCTGGGCAGCACCCGAGCTCCTCGGGGAGCTGCAGGGGACCTTCATGGTCGTGGACCAGAGCCGTGAGAGCAACATCTGGTGAGGGAACGGGACCCCACAGAGGAGGGGGCCACGCGGCTCTGCAAGGGGGGAGACGAGGCCTGGAGGGCTCAAGAGGGTCAGGCTGAGGCTCTGATTTGACTCTGCCTCTCTTTTCCCGCAGGTCCCTGGGGGTGACCCTCTGGGAGCTGTTTGAGTTCGGGGCGCAGCCCTACCGCCACCTGTCCGACGAGGAGGTCCTGGCATTTGTGGTCCGCCAGCAGCACGTCAAGCTAGCCAGGCCGCGGCTCAAGCTGCCCTATGGCGACTACTGGTGAGGGCGCCCTAGCCAGGACCCTGCTCGGGGTGGTCCTGTACCACCCACCCATCCCCAACCCACCCAGTCTCCCTCAGCAGTCTCCCCAGGGACATCTTACCCCTTCCTGAGATGCAGAGAGGGGAAACTGAGGCAAGGACTGAGTTTTGCTAAACCTCAAGTGTCTCCATGTCCCCTGAACAGAACTCATGGCCCTGCCCACTTCCTCCTCACCTCACCCCACCCCACCTCTGTGCCTGCTCTCCAGGCCTGTCCCTCTCTCTGGACTTCTAGTCCTGCTCCAAGGCCCCTGACTGTCCCCGTCCCTAAGTCCTGGTCCCTTTCTGCCTGGATCTCTGCCTCCCTTCCAGGTGTCAGTGCTCCCTCTCTCTCTGGATCTTTGTCCCCCTGTCTCTCTCTATCTGGGTCTCTGTCCCCCTGTCTTTCTATCCCTCTCTGGGTCTCTGTCACTCTGTCTCTCTCTCTCTGGGTCTTTGTCGCCCTGTCTCTCTGGATCTCTGTCCCCCTGTCTCTCTCTCTCTAGGTCTCTGTTGCCCTGTCTCTCTCTCTCTCTGGATCTCTGTCCCCCTGTCTCTCTCT